TATATCACCATCCATCTATTTTAGGGAAGAAAAACTCTCAATTCAAGCCAAATAGATTAAAAATATAAAGTGAATTGGGTGGGAAATTACATAGCCGGAAGGGTCCAGGGCTGGTCGGGTCGGCTCTGCTTGGGTTGCCCAATGATTGACCCCTTTTGCCGCAAAGCAAAGACCATCTTCAGCGCAATACGGGCTCCAGCCTTAACCCAGTTGCTATTTGAAGACACTTCTTGATTTAACAGATTTGGGATTTTTTTTTTTTTTTGGACCATATTAACCCAACCCTTTTCGCATAGTTGTAGGAAGCGATTTAATTTAAGGGGCAAACACCTCCGGATGGACAACCGTGCCCCAAACCCGGCTGTATTAAGGGGTCACATCAGTCGCAAGCTCTGGTTTCCTGGGAATAACATTACGGGGCTAATTCTGAGGATTTTAGGAAGCTGGTGCTGGCAGGAGAAGCAATAAAATACCCACCCCAGCTGAAGGAATAAATATTTTTGCTCAAAAAATGAGCCGGTACCTTTCTAACAGATGAAGCGTCACAAATCCCCCCCAAGGGATTCCCCAGGAGCTTCAGCGTGAGGTCGGGCTCCCCAGATGATGGATGGGGACACACAACCCTTCGGCTGGGTCTACATTGGGAAGAAATCGGACTTTTTTGGGGGGACTTTTTTTTTTTGCGATCTAGCTTGGCTGGGGAGAGCTCTACCGCAGCTCTGCTGGGCAGCAAAAATAACCCGTGTGATAAACCCACGCTGCGTTAGATCCACTGATAAATGAAAGGTCCTGATTGATTATGGCTAATTTATCAGAGTCATACAGCCCGGGATATTTTCCCTCTAATATTTAACATATAAAGCTTTTTTTCCCCCCAAATCCTGGCATACAAACACAAGCGTGACGGACTAGAACCGCTTCAGAACGCGACTATAAGCGCACTAGAAAGGAGAGGAGGAAAGGAAGAGCACGGTTATCCTCGCCAATTAAACCCCGCTACCCCCCCACCAGCTCTCAGTTCCACAAAACCAAGTTTTACCAGCGATAAACTCACCTTGAGCTCCCCCAAAACCGCTCAGAAAGCAGAGGACAGGACCGCAGAGGAAAGTCACGGGCGCCGGTGGGTGGGGGAGCCCAGATTGCCTTGAGATAAAGCTGCTCTTGCCACCATCGTATCGACGCCTACTGCCAAACGCTCTGTAGCTCCCAGGTTAAAATGTATTTTGGGCGACGCTGATCGACTTGGGGAGCAGAAAGGCATCACGGGATGCAAACAGACCTCCGGAGAGGATGGGACAATCGAGCCAGCAGAGTTCTGGTCCTGCGCAGTGACGGTCTCTAGATATCAGACCATCGGGATGTAGGAAAAGTCAAGTTGTCCATCCCCAACTTGCAGGATCTGCATCTTCTGGGGTTGTTATAGGGTGGGGTTTTTTTTTTGCATCAGTTTTGGCTCGTTTGCTGGGGATTTGGGAGGGCAATTGCTTTTATTTATTTTTTCTCTGTGCAATATCATCTACATCTGACGTTAAGGAATGGAAGGAAACTCTTCAGGGAGGCGCAGAGAAGCATCAGCATCAGCAAGAAAGTTCCTAAAACCCTGGGGACGACAGGATCAGCCCCTGGGCCACCAAATACAGTTTGGTGAGGTTTTTTTTTTCTTGATGAGGGTCGCACACCGAATTATTTTGCAATTTCCACGTTCTGCTTTTAACATGTTGAACATCCGTAGATTTCATTTCGTTTTCTCTGGAGACTTTCGAGACCCGCCTGGATGCAGTCCTGAGTAACGTGCTCCGGGCAATCCTGCTTTAGCAGGAGAGCTGGACTAGATGATCTCTAGAGGTCCCTTCCAACTCTGAAAATTCCGTGATTCATTCCATGAAAACCAAGCTCTCGGTCACCCGCTTCACTTCCCGAGATGTCTGCTTCTATTTAACGCCTGACTTGCTCCCCTCCGCTTAGCCTTTTAACAGGGGTATCAATAAATCCGCATCAAAGCAGCGCCCGGCACTTCATCCCAACCGGCCTCATCGTTAAGCAAAAAAAAGCCCCAAGGACTGGGAAATCAGACTCTGTGCTTGAAGTTCATCTGATGATGAGGGGGCTTTTCTCTCGCCTCTGGGGAGATAATTTAATGGCATGATCCGGAGTCTCAGCAGAAGCAAAATCCTGTTTGATACTTTATCCCAGCTCGTTTTATTATAAAATCACAGACTGGTTTGGGTTGGAAGGGACCTTGAAGACCACCCAGGGCCACCCCCTGCCCTGGGCAGGGACACCTCCCCCCAGCCCAGGTTGCTCCAAGCCCCGTCCAACCTGGCCTTGAACACCTCCAGGGATGGGGCAGCCACAGCTTCTCGGGGCAACCTGCCCCAGGGGATCACCGCCCGCACAGCAAAGAATTTCTTCCTATTATCTCATGTAAATCTCACCTCTTCCAGTTTAAACCATTCCCCCTCGTCCCACGGCTCCCCTCCCTGATGCAGAGTCCCTCCCCAGCTCTCCTGGAGCCCCTTTAGGCACTGGAAGGGGCTCTGAGGTCTCCCCTTTTTGGCCTTCTCTTCTCCAGGCTGAACCCCCCCAACTCTCCCAGCCTGTCCTCCCAGCAGAGGGGCTCCAGCCCTCCCAGCATCTCCGGGGCCTCCTCTGGCCCCGCTCCAACAGCTCCGTCTCCTTCTGCTGGTGGGATCCCCCGAGCTGGAGGCAGCACTCTGGCTCTTCCATGTGTAGCAGGGATCAGGTCTGGAACAAGGCAGCAGCGATGTCAAGATGTAAAATTTAAGGAATATTATTGGCATTATAGGGAATTTAGGGAATATTATTGGCATCCCCTTTATTTAGAGGTACACAGCATGTTTGTAAGTGGGGAGAAAAGCTTTTGCAAAGCGCACTGAGGATTTCATGCCTTTGCTTAAATCGACCTTTTCCCTTTTCCGGGCGTTTGCTGACCAACGTTCTGTGGGAACTGGGGAACCGTGTGCCTGAGCTGATGTGTGAATCGACTTCTCCCCATCTCCCACCGCTCATCACCTGCCAAAACACAGAATTAATCCAGGCACAAAAACCTGTTTGCATCCGACCCGTCCAACGCTGCCTGTGCCGGGGTCCAGCCTCAGCCTGGAAAATGGTATAGAGATGTTGGCGGCCGCTTGTCCTCTAATAAAGAGAAAAAATAATAAAAATGAATATTCTCTCTCCAAATACATGGAAACACACAGAGCAGGTTGATTTTATCAGCTTGTATTTCTTCAGGTTTTACTAAACACCTCCCGGAGAGAGGGGGGAAGAAGGAAGAAAAGCAGAATCCCCAAAGGCCAGGGGAAGGCAGTCCCCCTGTTACCCCTGAAGTGATCGCGCTCACCTGATTTCCCTGGGCTGCAGGTTTATACCTTCTCCACTTGCAAAGAAAACCAAACCACCCGAATTTTGGCCATACTATTTAAAAAAAATATAATCAATAACCTCACTGCTCAGCTCTTGTGGTTTGCAGCTCCATTTTCAATGCGATTTGAGAAAAAAAAAATGGTTCAAAAAGTGTTTTTTTCAGGCCTGTGCTGGGCATTGCTTCTCATTTAGTTAAAAAAATGAAGCCTGGGAAGTGTCAGAAGAGGGAGACAGAGCCCAGCAGTCGCACATCGGTGCTCCCCCACCTTTCCCTGCTCGGGCATCCAAATAAATGAAGCCAACCTCCGGCTCCCAAAACACCCTTATTAATAAAAAGCGCCACCAATAAACCCAGCGTTTCCTTCGCCGAGCGGCGCTGCAGACACGTTGATCTTTTGGAAAAACAGACTCTTCTTTTTTTTTCCCCTTTGCATTTCGCTTTTGAGATGATTCCTCCCGCTCGACAGATGCGGCAACTAAAGGTCCCCGATCTCCGTTCCCGCTTCTGCCTTTGACTTACGGCTGCTCTGCCATCGGTAGGGTATTGCTGAGCCCACACCAGAGCTTTGCGGAGGGTTCCACTGGGTGGTTTTGGTGTTTTTTGGATAAAAACATACTCGTATTTTTGCAATTCATCTCGCTTGAGGTTTTTCTGCCAGCCTGTTTCCCAACACAGCTCAACTTACCGGTCCGGGGTTGGATGCAACACACACCGGCTATTTAATTCCTATATCCTGAGTGATGCGGCAGGGAATTGCCACCTCAATCACCAAATTGTGCTAAAAAAAGAAATATTATGAAAGGTAATTCCTTACCTGGTCATCAGATGTTGGTCTCCAGCAGAGGGAAGTCACCACCATCCCCAGGGGCAGCACGTTGCCGCAATAGAACCGTCTTTGTTTTAAAAAATCACTGGGTTCTCCTTTTCCGTGCACTAGGGATAAAAGCTGAAGCCGCAGTTGATGGGGAAGAGCAGGAAACCTTCAAGAAACGAGTGTTTTCCCCTGCCCGAGCCTGGCCCAAACATCCTTCTTGCTCCAGGAGGTGCAAGTCGGTGCCTCCCTTGGGGATTTGATTCCTGGAAAAGCCCTTTGGAAGGGCTCTGCAGAGCAAGCTGCGCTGGTTTTTTCCTTCAGCTCTGTCTTTCTGGGGTTTGGGCACACCTGGGGTCTGGGCACATCTGGGAATCAACCATAGAGCCGCTATTTTTCAGGAAACCGGGTTAAATGTCACTATAAAGATACCCCAAAGTGTAATAACGACGGTGCTACTTCCCTTCCCGATGGCCCAGCTGGCACGCGGCGAGTGGAAGCGACTTTGCAAAACGCAACAGAAGTCACATTTATTGAGTAAAAAAACCCCCAAACCCTGAAAAAAAAACCAATAAGGAGATGTACAAACACTTCAAAACGCCAAGGCAGTAAAAAGGACCCGAGGGGAGCTCACGTGCCCGCACAGTGCATTCCATTTTTTATAACTTTCCAGTGTTATTTTACAGTTTCCCCCCAAAGCATCCCCTGAACCTGAGAAGATAAATCGTGTTATTTCCACGTTCAACGTCCGCCGCCTCCCTAAGCGCTTGGCTCCAAGCTGCCTTTAAGTCCTCCACCTTCTCACACTTTGCTGTGGCAGATGGTGCCTTCCTCCTCCTCCTCTTCCTCCTCCTCCTCCTCAGCGTTGACGGGAATGTAGCCCCCTTCCTTGGGCAAGCACCAGCACCAGCCCGCGCCGCTCAGATCCACCGCCCCGAAGCTGAAATCCCGCGTCTCCAGGATCCTGAAGTCAACGCCGTCCAACTTGGAGTAGATCTCGTTGAGCTTCTGCCAGTAGAGCCAAGCCATCACCAGGCCGATCACCTGCAAAACACGAGCGTTAAAACCCCGATAGTGGCACAAACCCTTCCTGAAGGTCTTCTCCCGCGAAGGGATGCCATCACCCGAACTTCCAAACCCGGCCGTGAGACAAGAGAGGACAAGCTCCAGTAAAATCTTCTGCCGAAGCAACGGGCTCGTCGCTAAACTCATTAACGGCCACGTTCTTCTCGCGCCTTCCCACATCAGCCCTGACAGCGGGCTGCGGATTAGTTGGACGTCACCGCCAGCGTCGCAAAGAGAGAGGCAGAGGTCCAGGCTCTCGCTGAATCAAGCTATTGCCACAAGCGCGGTGCCGCTCAGGTTATTTCCCCTTTCCCTGCCGGCTGTCAGGGAATTAAAAAAATACATTTTAAATCATTAGGAGAGTGGGGAAAAGGAGAAAAAAAAAAAAGCATTTTCATCAGCAGAAGATTTCAAGCACATCGCTTTGATTTCACCGGACGTTTCCTTTGCGGCGCTACGCGGCGGTGGTTACGAACGTCGGGCAGTGAGCCCTCGCGAGGAGCTATTTGCAGACCAGACGCTGATGAGGGGCAATCAGAGCATTTTCAGCACAAGCTCCATCTTTTGTGCTTTGTACCCTTTACCCGCCCTTTGACTACTGATCTGTAGAAATAAGGTCTATCCCCCATAAGCCCCAGACGCTTTGGGGTCACCACCGGGATACAAACACCACGGTTTTATACGTATTTTCAACGCACAAGATGGGATGGAGAAGGACGAGACCATCTGGAGCCTCGGGGCTTTCCCTCTCATTTTCGAGGCTGGTTAACTCATTTTTTCTGCATAACCGTTCCTTGCAACACGGATCAATAAATAACCCAGCTGCACCTGGACCATCCATCAGCCGGAACCTCCTGTGCTATTGCGGCGCGTTGCTTTTGCAGCTGAAAACTGTTATTAATCATTTCTCTGGGTCCTAATCGATCCATTAAACAGTCTGGAAAGAGGGAACATTAAGAGAAAGATAAACGGGGATAGGAGCAAAGGGTTGTAACGCATCTTAAATTAGGGACCGTTTCATCCCGTAGGAAAGGGAAAAGCGATTGCCCAGAGAAGGCTGCAGAAAATGGAGGCAAAATCTCCACAGGGAAAAAGCAAATCAGATAAGCGTCACCCAGTGAGCGGAAAGCAAATGGGCAAACACAAACATCACCGGGGTTTATTAATTCTCCTTTCAGAGATGAAGAAATGCCCCACCGCCCGCAGGAGCAGCTTGCGTCTTACGCAGAAGCCACCCCGAAACGGCTCAATATTTATTTTGCCTCCCCAAATTCACCTGGCGGCAGATCCTGAGGGGACCCCCGGGATCACAGAATGTTTCGGGTTGGAAAGGACCTTGAAGACCACCCAGGGCCACCCCCTGCCCTGGGCAGGGACACCTCCCCCCAGCCCAGGTTGCTCCAAGCCCCGTCCAACCTGGCCTTGAACCCCTCCAGGGATGGGGCAGCCACAGCTTCTCGGGGCAACCTGCCCCAGGGGATCACCACCTGCACAGCCAACAATTTCTTCCCAATATTTCATCTCAATCTCCCCTCTTCCAGTGTTAAACTGTTCCCCCTCATCCCATCCCTCCCCTCCCTGACCCAGAGTCCCTCCCCAGCTCT